ATCCATGAAGTCAAGAAGCATTATTTTTCTATATATCTAACATATCAATATTGATGAAATTATGAAAGAACCCAAGTGCTATAAGATCCTCAGTGTAAAATCTTCCAGGATACAAAGAAATATTAAGTTCATAAAATTAGATAAAGACACAGATCTTTCTGCCTCTTCTTACATGCAAAGCTGGAGTCAAAATCTTTTATCATGTTAGAATTCCAATACAACAGACCTAAAATTTTTCAAAAGGTTTCCTATTTTGTTTGCTGTACTAAATGCAGTGTCAGTTACGTCAATATACAGATTTCAACCTGTAAGGGGGAATTACACAAAGTGACTAGATGAAACATTGTCATGTAGGCTTCTCTAGAAAAATACGATAAGCAAGAAAGATTATCTACACAAATAAGTTATATTTAAAATCAACACAATTAGTAAAATGTATTTTAAACACAAAATGAAATTAGTATACATTTTTATCATCTGTACCAATCAAAAGAGTCCTCATTGGACATATTTCTCACTTCCTCCTCAACACAGTATCTTAAACATTATTCCAGAAAATATCTTTTTAAGTGCTCCCAAGGAACCACAGAGGGACAATATGTAAGTAAATATTAGTCCAATATTAACTAGTCCAAGGACTAGTTTCAAGCAAAGATAATTTAAATCACCTAAGGGAGAAGTATGGAGGAAGAGAATAATATATACTACAGCAATTTAAAAACCATATACATATTTTACTTTCCAGGCAAATTGATATAAAATATGATCACAATGTAATTATAAATCACTAAAAATATAGGCATTATTTTGTCCCAGTTTACAATCATACTCAGTTGTTAAAATCTAAAAAAAATATGAGAAATACAAGAGTTCTATTTTGGCTTATAAATAGAATTTAAACAGAGATGAAGAATTTTGGCATGTGCACACACAAAATGGCTCAAAATCTAAATGATATGACTCAAAGTCACTAACTAGTAGGTATGAGAATTAAGAGACTACTCTTGCACAACAAACCTTTACTAAATAAGGTTTTAAAACACACTAAAACTTTTGCATGTTAAAAGAGTTCAGTTTTCTAGTTTCTGCATTAACTAATGCCAGAGTCATGGAATATTTGCATTAGAAAAAAGAAAATATTTCATTCATGCTTCCTTGAAACTGGCCTGTTGAGGGCTATGGTATCTCAAATTGCAAGGCTTTTTACTCAAATAATGCACAAATTGTGATTTAGAAACCCTCAGGGCTGTGTTTTCAGTAAGCCAAGCACATATAATAACATAGAAAACACATGTAATTAGATGAACTTAGCAATACAAATCAATTTCAGGCACTTCTTGAGTACAAACTATCAGAATTTTCTATCAAAAAAATGAACTAGCAGGCCAGACCATAAGAATTGAAATTTCAATTTTTAGAACAATACGCAAAGGCTAGACAATTGATTAAAAAGTATAGCATAATTAACACAATTATATGCTGTTAGAATTTCTTCATAATTACATACACAATTTTCAGGTTTAGTCACTTTTTAGCATCCAGATTTTTATTCTGGCTTTCTTTCCTTTACTCTATTTGCCATTATGGTCTAAAATTCCCACACATATTTTTGAGGAGCATGATAGAGAAGATTTGTTTTTGAAAAAGTAGAATTTAAGTATTTTTTTATATCTCCATCTAGACAGTCAACACATGATTATTTTGATGTCTATTAAAGCCCATTTCAACATGGTTTTTTAAAATATCTCACTAAAATTCTCATTACTAATTCTTTTTTCTAATTCCTTCAGACATTTAATATTTTCATTCTTTAAGTAAATGCAAAGAAAACAAGGGAAGTGAACTATAGTATTAATATTATAAAGATGTCTTCAAGTTTAACACTACATATAAATTTGGTCTAGCATCTTTTTCCAACTTATGTTGTACTGGTATTCTCCAAAACACAACCCATTTTGGGGTACATATACAATTTCATTTCTTCCATGCCTCAAGGAGCTGTCAGAGTCTAGGTAGCTCTCTTATCTTTCTGAATCTACATTTTAGCACATGAAGCCAAAGTTAAGAGGCACTAAAATGTTAAATGCAGTATAGAGGATTCAAGACTGGCATTTTATGCTGTATACACAGCCAGCCAGTCTTTTGATAGACTCAACTCTAATAACATTCTCAAAAGAATCAAGCCAGTCAAGGGAGGATAGCAAAGAACTAGAGACCCTACTAGAAACTAATGAGGAACAATGGATATAGGCAAAGTCCCAAGACCCCCCGGATGGAGAGAACATTGTCAATGATGGTGAAGGAAGATAAGAAAAAGCAAGAGATGGCTGAGCTATGGGAAAGGTTTTCCAGATTATTTTTGGAGATTGGGATGGGTCAAAATTAAGTCATGTCTCTACCCAGTCCTAAAAATGATTGACACCAATGTATATAATTGGGTAATTGTGGGTAATTGAGAAAATGACCCAAAAGTCCATAGGTATTATGGGATGTGCTGCTATACCTTACATATGAAGTGGATTATGTTAAAGATATGTTCTCCGACGCCTGCAGAGAAAACTGGCAAGTTATCTACAGTTTTTCTATTTATACTAATACAAACATTTTGAGGTTATCTATACTGTATGTGATTGCTGTAGTCACAGCAAGAAATGTAAAGTGCCTACAAGACAGGGGATAATAGAACCCCATTTCTAGGCATCTTAATACTATACTCTTAGACAAAAAAGCAAATAATATCTCTGGTATGTTCTATCTTTCCTCAAGCCCCTGAACTTCTCTGTGATCTCACCATAACACCTACTAGGCACTTCTTAAAGGCTGGAAAACAAACTTTCTATTTCATGCTACATTTCCAAAATCGTTTTAACTACTTACATTAAAAATGCCAGCCAGGAGTGCTAAAGCACTTTTTTATTCTTAAGGCAAAATGTCCTATTCTTCACTATTTCCCCCTGCCACCCAAATCACCTGCCTTCATTGTATTCTCTACCACCATGAAAGCCAAAAAAACAGAACTAAAAACTTCAATCTTCAATATAATGTGTAAGACAGTTTATAAATGATATTGTAATAAAATGTACTTAAATTTTTATAATACATGGTTATTTTCACCAAGATATCAAAAAAAGTTATATACAACTTTCAAAGTTAGTATCAAACACAGGATATTTAAATCCACTCACATGTAGAGGTATGAAGCTTTGTTCTTTTCAAAGTTGAGCACTATGACCCTAAATAAGATGTCTATGTATAACCAAAGTAGCATATTAAAAAACCAAAAACATTGTCCTTTCCTTAATTCAACTTTGAACTACATATAAATTGCCAGACAACTATTGATGAAACTCTCCCATCTTCCCTTATTTGGAAGTAATACCATTTGAATGATTTTGACATATTCTTATACACAAATTTATTTTTCCCCAGTGTAATTTAGTTTTATGAGCAAGTAAGTACCACCTTATTTTTCATGCTTAGGTTAGAAGGTAGAATATAACCAAAAATTGCGTTTGGTAAATGTGGTGTAATATTTCATGCATTCTTACAAGGCCATGTCAATAATCTACATTAAACCAAATATAACAATGTAGTACACACTTTAATGATCCAATTAGAAGAAATTTTACCCATCTCCTTAATGACAAAGGTGTGCTGGTATACTGTTGTCCTTATGTGGCAGCAATACAAAAATAAACTATGATTATCAAATTAAAGATATAAAGGATTTGCTGGGTTACTTTACAGAGTATTTGTCTCTAGTGAAACTGCAACATCTACAAACTAACTTGAGTTTTTAAGGGAGTTGATATATGATTAATTCTTTATAGCGATTTGACAAATTATGAGAACATATGAGATTAAAGCTCAGCAACGTAGGATTTACTTTTGTAAAAGCACGTTGACAAATATTAAAATGGTATACTTGTATTTTAAACATAATATAAACATAAAATACCCAATGTTAAATACTGATCTTCCATGCCTAACTTGGATTTAAATACTGAATATTTTATATTTTATAGAAAAAAACTACATCCAATTTTAAATACTGATCTCCTATGTCTGATTTTGATTTAGATACTGAGTATATTATACTTTATAGGCAGGAACTTTCAAAGTTTTGTCACGCTTATAATTTGTACTACTGTTCTTCCTCGAAACCTTAATGAAATCCAAAAGGCCATTAAAAAGTATTTTTAAAAAAGTATTTTTTTCCTGAATATTTTACTACATGACAGTGTGGATTAGCCTCCAGATTTTCAGGGCATGAAAGATATGCAGAACATGTGTTAACACTTTCAGGGTAAACTTGTTTATAACAGAACCTGGAATACCTTTGACTTTCAGATATTGAAAAAAAACACTAAGCAAACCAAAAAAAACAAGGATATTTTGGGCCCAGCTACTCTTCAGTAAAGAAATACTATCACGCTGATCAATTTTTAAACCAAATTCTTAAAGTATTAAAAACTGTATTTTATAATTGTCAATGAATTACTTGGTATAAAAAAAGAAATGAAAACTTATAGAAACAAAATACCTCAAATTATTCCAATTCCTAAGATGTGAAATTTTCAAATTAAGATGTTATCTGTTGCTTAAAAGTAAGTTTTTTCTCACATTCACTTTAAATACTTTACATAGAACACCTAAAAATTAGACTAGCTAAATTATTTAATAATATTAATAAGGTGATTATTTCTCTAGGTAGCTATGTCTCATGTAATAACTTTTAAAGTTGAAAAAAATCACTTAATTTTAATCACAATTAATGATTGACCAACTAATGGGTTAATAATTTATTCAGTAATTCAGATGGCACAAGGTCCAATATAGGAAACAATCTGGTAACTGCTCAATGTGCAATTCTGCTCATTAATAATACTAAGTCAAGTATTTTATAGTCACTTAGTTAGATAACATGTTTCCATGTATGTGATTTAATGAACAAAAAAATTAAGTACACAATGTCAAGTTTTTCCTTTATCTTCTTAAAGAGCAGCTCAATGATTTTGGGGGTTGGTTAGTACAATACAGAGAACACAGGGGCAAAGTACAAAATGGCACTTAACACCAATGCCAGTTTTCATCTTGTTATGGTTATAACTAAGGATATTATTAAATTTTGTGTTATTTGCTTTTCTTTAGAACATAAATCAAAGCCATTAACAAACTTGAGGTATATACACAATACATACACAACCTTATGTAAAATACTTTTCGTAAGTAACATTACATTTTAAAATATTGGAAACTCAGTATCTGTGCTGATTTGTATTTTGACTTAATGGAACAAGAAGAGAACAACATTCAACTAGGGAGGGTTATACTGATAATAAAGCTCTTAAAGTTAAAAATGTCTTCCTCTCCCTTTGTACTTACCACAGGCTATACAATGTCCTGAGAGGATTCATTATGAGAAAAATGTCAATCACAGCTTTAAGACCTTGCTTTGGAAGGAACTAATGAGAAAGCAGATTGGAAGAAGAGACTTCATCTTTGTTTTCAAATACGTGGTCCTAATTTTTCTTCTTATAGAAAAAGTTTAAATCAGTTTATTATAAATATATCTAAACCATTAATTTTTGCAGCTTTCAGGTAAAGTCCAGCACTTCGTTTATACAAAGTCTATGACATAAGAGGTCAGTAGAGATCATCTAATCTTAAGTCGTGACATCATCCATTCAAGTCCTTGGCATAATCTATAAAGAAAATAAAATCATTTGATTAAATTCTCAGCTAAAAAGCTATGAACAAACTAAAGGAAGTTATCATGTTTCATTTTCCTGAACATTATTTTAAAAATCAATAATATATCAATGTTGACGCTATTGTGAAGACATACTTTCAAACAGTATATTCATGCTTTTTTTGTTCTATTGTGTGTCTAGAAATAGAAGAAAAATTTAACAAATTATGAACACTTGTATGAAATATTAAAAACTCCCTTTCCAAGACCATTTTATTATGATAAAATGCCCATGATAAAAATGAAAAATGGTACAATATTAAACTATGTAGTAGAGTTGTTTAAACAAAATACAGATAATATGCATTTTATATCCATTATTATAAACAAATTTGAAAGAAATAAAATCTTTTATTATTAACACCAGTTATTGTCGAACACAGTAACTGTAAAATCTAAAAGAAAGATGTTCATTGTGATAAAAGAAACCAAATATTTAGTAAGGGAGAAAATGAACCATTAATTATTATCTATGACCTTTTTATTGATATGGGAAATTACGCTAAGTATTAACTTTTTAAAAACCAGAATTCAGATTTTTGTGTAATGTAAAAGAAAAGTTCTAAAGCACTGAGAGTGGACAGTACAAAGTAAAATTATTTAATTCTAATTTGCTATTAATATTATTTAATTCCAAATAATTAAATGGTAGTTACCAATAGCAAACTAGAAAACTGTGTTAGGTACTAAATATCTGTTATCTTAAATCTTTACAACACCAAAACTAGAATTCTTTCCATACTGCTGAAGGACCCTGGTTTTGAGGGTTAGCAAACAGCTGAGGTGGATATCAAAATGCTGACCAAACCCAGAATTCAGACCAAGGTGCCAAACAATAATGTAAATATTTCACCTAAAATCAAACATTTCCACTTATTAACTGCTGCAAATGAACAAGCTCAAATGAACCAAAAGTTAAAAAGATAATATCATCTGTTAATTTCCACTTTGAAAAATGAAACTGCCAGAGTTCATTCCGATCTGTCCTAACTAATAATATTTTCCATACAATTACTCAAAGTATGTAAGTTAAATCTTATATCAACCCTATCCGATTTGTCTTCATTGTCAAATTTAGTATTATCAATGCTTTTGCTTAAAGACCTCTGACAAAGATAATATATATAGACACACATAGATATCTGATAATATTTATCTAAACATGTGTTAAACTATGTGAAAAAGAAACACAGAATGGATATTTTTGCTTAAAAGAACATAAGGACAGGGCCTCCCTGGTGGCGCAAGGGGTTAAGCATCTCACTATGAAGCAATCCACAGCTTCTGCAACACGAGTTCGATCCCTGGCCAGCCAGGGAGCAACCCACATGGCAAAGCAGATCTCTCCTGTCTCACCCATTGCTCCCCTCAGCAGTGTATTTCAGTGTATCTGCCTGTACTGTCCCCCATTCTGTCTCTGGTGAATCCTCTCACCCCCTGCATCTCTGGCCTGTACCCCAGCTCTTGTATGCATAAATAAATAAATCTTAAAAAAAAAGAATATAAGTACAATTGTGTTTTTTTTTTTTTTAATGAACACATCTACTTTCTTTTTTTTTTTTTAGATCTTTAATTTTTTTTATAGAGGCATGTTTTATTTATTTGTTTATTTGTTTGTTTGTTTTGTTTATACATGCACTGGGTACAGTCAGAAGCACGGGAGGGCGAGAGAATTCACCAGAGCCAGAGCGGGAGGCAGAGCAGGCAGAAGGACCGAAGTACACTGCTGAGGGGAGCAGCGGGCGGCAGGAGAGGTCTGCGCGCCATGTGGGACCCTCCTCCGGTGGCCGGGGAGCAGCCGGGGATCGAACCGGCGCTGCAGAGGCCGCGGGCAGCTTCGCAACCCAGCGCTCAACGGCTGCGCCACCGGGGAGGCCCTAATGAACACATCTACTTTCTTGAGGCTCTAATTAAGCTCTTCCAAATATCCATAATCAGGTCAATATCCTACCTCACTGAATAAGATCTGGCTCCAATAACTCATTAAATAAATTGACCCTTACCAGGAAAATGAATAACTATAAGAAAGTGAAAATCAAAATCAACAAAAAACTATGAACCAGACACACTTTATGGGGGGTGAGGGGCGGGGAGGGGAGGGATTGGGGTCAAAATAAGGGGGTTGCAATTGTATGGGGAATATAAAAATAAAATTTACTAAAAAAAAAAAGAAAAATCTTAAAAATTAAAAATAAATAAATAAATAAACAAATAAATAAATTGACCCTTCACCATGGTCTTGAAAGGAAATGAATTTCTCCCATTTCAGATGACTTATCTATGTTTTAAGCTTCTGTCCTTTTTTAACACATGAAAAGACTTCACCAAAGTAAGACCTCTATTTAGAATCCTCCAATTTCCATTTAATTCTCTCTTCATTGTTTAAATAAAGGTACATCCACCATATTTTGGGGAAAAAAAACACTACTTCAGCTTGCTTAGCCTTTTAGTTTTTCAACTCTATTTCATCTCTCATTGGACACCTGAAAACTTGTTCTACAGTTTTGTTTCCTAAAATCCTCTTCCTCTTTAAACTGCACTTTTATTCCAGCCCACTTTCCCAATACATATGATTTGCTTCTGAACTGATTTGATCTATTCATTTATAATTAAATTTATTTATTTATTTTTTATAATAAATTTTAATTTTTATATTCCCCATACAATTTCAACCCCCCCATTTTGACCCCAATCCCTCCCCTCCCTCCACTCACCCCCCCAAAAGTGTCTCTGGTTCACAGATTTTTGTTGATTTTGATTTTCACTTTCTTATAGTTATTCATTTTCCTGGTCCCTTATTTAAGTTTTCTAGATTCCTGCTATGAGTGAGACCATCCGGTATTTTTCTTTTTCTTTCTGGCTTATTTCGCTGAGCATGATCCCTTCCAGCGCCATCCATGTTGCTGCAAATTGCATGTGTTTATCTTTTTTGAATGCTGAGTAATATTCCCTGGTATATATGTACCACATCTTCTTGATCCAGTCATCTATTTTTGGGCATTTGGGCTGTTTCCAAAGCTTAGCTATTGTAAATAGTGCTGCTATAAACACAGGGGTGCAGGTGTTCTTTGGAATTGATGTTTCTGTGTCCTTTGGGTAAATACCTAGGAGTGGAATTGCTGGATCATATGGAAGCTCTATGTTTAGTAGGTCCAGAAATCTCCACACAGCTCTCCATAGTGGTTGGACCACATTTATGATTAAATTTAACAGCACCCTCTCCATCCTTCTGATTTTTGATCTTACATTTGACATGGTGACCACCACTTCCTTATTGAAATCTTTTCATCTCTAGTTATTAGACTATGGCGATATTCTACTGTGGCACCTACCTTTCTTTCCAGAACCAAGGACCTTCATACCACTCTCTCTCCAAATCTTTTTGTTTGTTTTTTTAAGTACAACTCCCTCTTGACAACATTGGTGACAAAAGTGAGTTATCTCCAAACTAATCTCACACATGAATCTTCTTCCACATCAGCTCTTTATGATAAAATGTGAATTTAAAACAACTGGCCTATAAGATTGGTATAAGGAAAAAATGGTACACCATTCAGAGTACTCAAGAACAGGCCATACTTAGAAAATGTAAGTCCCTTTCTTATATAGTCTCATCACCACTGTAAGAACTATTTCCTGACTCTCCAGTTCAAGACACTCCCCATTCTGAACTCCTATAGCCACTCCATCATCTATCTGTTCCTACATCTTAGGACAGTATTTTATATATAAAATGTGGGTGATGCATGCTATTCTTTACAGGCTTAGAAGTGTTCTCATTGTAAACATGGAGTAAGTTCTACATTTCTTCCTTACAAATGTTTTGTCAAAGGTAATTTTATTTGATTTATGAATACATGTTTCTAAGCAAAATACAAAATACATGATATACATCAGAAAAACTTCTTACCCCTCGCCAGTAAGAGCACAGCATGCCTGTATATGCCACTGGTGATCTTTAATGGATGTTAGTTTCAAAAACTGGGAAATTTCTGCTACAGTCATGCATTCTTTAACATCTTGTTTATTAGCAAAAATCAGCAATCCAGCTTTCCGCAGATCCTAAAAAAAAGCAAACAAATCTGTTAAGAGTCAGTGCATTTTTTTCTTACAGATTTTTCAACTTAATTAAGTCTTTTGGTAATCTTTGTAACCTATAATTTATCGAGGACTTGACACATAAGCACCTCATAGTTCTTATGCTGACAGAAGGTAAATTGAAAATGGCATTTAAGAAAATAATTCACTACTTGTGTGGATTTATGTATTTTTAAGTTATATTTTTTATGGTCTTAAGAACTATATTTAATAGACATGTCTTTAAACATAATATATACCAACCCATTACCTGAACTGAAACTAGGTTTCTATGGCTACTAAGGACTACCCTTTAACATGACACTCAAGATGTTAAAATTCTATCCCACCTATACTTTAGATATAGATACCTATAGCTAAAGCTATTATTTTCTAGATGAATAGGAAATAAATGAATTCATTATGTACAGTGTGTACCTTTGAGATTAAAGATTTATTTATTTATGCATACAAGAACTGGAGTATAGACCAGAGGGTGGGGGGGGGGGTTGAGAGGAGTCACCAGAGATACAGTGGGGAGCAGAACAGGCAGACTGACTGAGATTTAACCCCTTGAGCCACCAGGGAGGCCCTGCTTTTGAGTTTCTCAGTTAAGAGGTGATATCCAAATCAGCCTTATTCATCTTCTGATGAATCCTTATTCATCTTCTTATTCATCTCTAGCTCTTCTATCTTTTGTCTATGTCAACTTTTCTTAGATTTGAATATTTAACAGAGCTACCTTGGATTCGCATTAAACATCAAATTTCCCAATTAGATAGTAAGTTCTACCTCTTCTATGCTTTGACTATGAGGTAAATTCATTAAACCATTCTGAATTTGTTCCTCATAACTACAATTTTTGAGTAACTGATCTGAGGAAGACAACATATCAATCACTTTCTAAATCAGATGTCTTTAATTCTCAGGCAATTCTTACAAGGTAGGTTTACTATTTCCATTTTACAAATGAGGAAACTAAGACTCAGATGTAAAGTAACTCATAAAAGTTCATAAAATCTACTCAACAAAAGAGCCAGGTTTGTGCTGACATCTTTCCACTGTATCTACAGCCCCATATCTGTAAAATAATGAGACCACCACCTAGATCCTAGAGATGTAGTGTGAATGAATTAATACATGTAATCCTCCACTTAGTTCAGTACCAATTTTTTGGTGACTGTCCAATAAATGTTAGTTCAGGTCTCCCTGGTGGCGCAAGGGGTTAAGCACCGCACTATGAAGCAATCCACAGCCCTTGCAGCATGAGTTCGAACCCCGGCCGGCCAGAGAGAAACCCACCTCACCTGTCTTGCCTGCTGCCCCCCTCAGCAGTGTATTTCAGTCAGTCTGCCTGTTCTGTTCCCCACTCTGTCTATTGCTAATCCTCTCACCCCCTGCATCTCTGGCCTGTACCCCAGCTCTCACATTCATAAATAAATAAATCTTAAAAAAAATAAAATAAATGTTAGTTCATTTACTGCCCTAAAAATGACTGCCTTTATTTACCCTTGTGTGTTCCCCACAGTCACTAACAAATCAAACCCACATCCTCTCTCCCAACCTTTTATAAAACCAGGAACTTCTTTGATAATCTATTGAAAGTTATGGACCTCTTCTCATAAAAATGCATATCAACAGGCAAAAAAAAAAAAAAATTTTATGTACAATTTTAGGTATCAGTAGATTCTAAAATCCAGTCTTAGATCTTGGGCAAAGAATCCATGAAGGATATACTACACCAGTAGATTAAACGCTCATAAAATTCTTTACATACTTAAACAGATGCTGAGAAAACTAAGATTTTGACGCTAAGCTTGCAAGTTTTCTCACCTGCGTTGAATGCCACTTTTCTTCTAAAGGATTTTAATGGGTTATTTTGATTTCAAACATGGATATATGGTATCTGAATGAAAAACATCATCAGTAGATACAAAATGACATTGTTCCATATTATTTTATTCCTGTTAGAATATAGTTTCAATGACTTCTTTGGTTCTTTCTGATATATATAAGAACACTAAATTCCTTTTTTTTTTTTTTTTAATTTACTTATACAAGCACTGGGTACAGTCAAACGCGGGAGGGTGAGAGAATTCACCAGAGCCAGAGCGGGGAGCAGAGCAGGCAGAAGGACCGAAGTACACTGCTGAGGGGAGCAGCGGGCGGCAGGAGAGGTCTGCGCGCCATGTGGGACCCTCGCCCGGTGGCCAGGGAGCAGCCGGGGATCGAACTGGCGCTGCAGAGGCTGAGGGCAGCTTCGCAACCCAACGCTCAACCGCTGAGCCACCGGGAAGGCCCAAGAGCACTAAATTTCTTATTTGGTTAAAAGTTGTTATGCAAAATGTTTTATTTAACACTGCATGACTTTCAATTACACTGCCCTCTGCAGGGTGGTAGCTATATTACCACAATTAAAGACAAAATACGTGACTAGAATAATCAGACAGGGATACTCTAGAAAGTTAAACTTTAAGATTGCATGTTCACTGTTTCACCTATAGTTCAGTTCAACTGTCTATATAAAAAGAAAAATTTTGAAAGATAGAAAATAACTTGTACAGATATTCAGTTTTAAGTATTAAGTATCAAGTATTTTTTCTATTATACTAAACTGAATAAGGAACAATTATCAATAGTTCATATATGGTTGAATCCGTGAGTAAATGGACTGTCTGTGGGATTTAATTTCTACCTTCCAGGTTTCAATATGTCCTGCTAGTGTGTGCTGAAATCTTTTTATTAGTTAGGACTGCATCTGAATTAATGCATGTTCACAGACCACACGTCTGCTATTTGTTTCATTTATGAAGATAAATTCTAGAAACAAAGTCATTCTGATGACTTTTGTGTTTGGAACTATTTCAAAATTCAAAGTTTTCAAATCATTTAAGATGAATCTTTGAGAGATATTTAAAAACATTTTACAGCTTTATACTTAGTAAACATGTAAACAATCATTATTGATGACATGATTTTGTTCATTACTGTAGTATGTATGAAACATCTGATTAGCCACAAAACAAAATTTGCATTTTATTCACATATTCTCATTATTTGATCCACTTGTCCCTCTCCAGAAGTCTATTTGGCTCTTTGTGAGTCTATTAAATGATTTACTCCAGTTCTCAACTTCATGTACAATTATTTTCTTTTCTGGTAACCTTATTCAGTATCCTTCACTTTCCAACTAGGCCCTATTTTTGCCTATTTCTTTTTCCTAGAAAAGTGTCTGAAAAAGTCTAACGTGGGGCCTCCCCGGTGGCTCAGCAGTTGAGCACTGGGCTGCAAAGCTGCCCACAGCCTCTGCAGCACCGGTTCGATCCCTGGCCACCGGCAAGGGTCCCACATGGTGCACAGACCTCTCCTGCTGCACCCACTGCTCCCCTCAGCAGTGTACCTCAGTCCTTCTACCTGTTCTGCTCCTTGCTCTGGCTCCGGTGAATTCTCTCACCATCTCGCACTTCTGACTGTACCCATTGCTTGTATAAATAAATAAATAAATCTTAAAAAAAAAAAAAGTCTAAAGTGGCAACTGGTTCTTAAAAAGTCAAGTTACATAAACTTTCTGGGCCTTAGTGTGCTCACTTTTAACAGACAATGTTAAACTTCTCTGCTCTAACTAGTAAAATTAATATATCTTGAGGTCAATTATTGGGTTTTCTACAGATTCTGACACAGGGAAGTGATATGTCAACAAAGTAAAAAATATAGCCAAAAGAAAAATACATCTGTGTCTTATTTTTCTTTTTCCAAAGTCTTTATAAAATAACAATAAAACAATCCTTTGGTGTAAAATGAAGAATGTTGCATCTTTAGTCTTCTGCACTGTTTACAGCTTACTGCATGTTTCCCTAGCTATCAAAATAAAAGGGAGAACAAAACAAGGGAAGGTACACCTTGGTGGGCATGATCACAAGGAAATCAGAAACTTCAATTTATATAACCACTTTACTAGGTTTCCTTAAGACTTGAACCAGTGCTGAAAACATACCAAAATTCTTAACACAAATCTCAAAAGCAAATAATCAAAGCAGAATTAAAATTAATATGAAACATCATTACAAAGACATCCCAATTTTTGTTTTATTAAATTTCACTCAAATAAGAAATTCTAAATAAACCAATGTTATCACAATTTAAAAAATAATAATTCTACTCTCTATATATATACTAAATTTTTATTTCTACCAGTAAACATGAATTGAGGAAACTAACACCTACAAAAAGGGCATGAAAAAATAATTAATTGCCACTATAGAAAATATTGTATTATTTTAGTTACCCCATCATTATGAACTATATTATTCAGTTTATTTAATTTTTAAATTATGACACCAGTAATATTTCTCAAGGATTAAGAAATAAGAAAATGTAGGTAGTTACGTAGTTTTGTTTAGTCAAAGGCAGAATACCAGAGGAGTCTAAGAGCAACAACATTCAAATGTTAGTCTGAAACTGAGTTACAATCAAGACTCACTCTGTGCCCATGAACTTCTAAAATTTCATTTGCAATGATAATCTTCTGTATGATTAATCTATTCAAAATGCAAAATACAAGCCACATTTAAGATGTCTTGCTCAGGAAAACATCTAGAATGAATTTGTTTAGGATAAATAAAGTAAAATTCTACAATTGATACCACAGTCTTTCTGTTGCTTCCAGATACACTTCCAACTTTGGAAGTGTCAAAATATAAAGCAAGAAGGGTAAGCAGAAAAATTTTTTAAAATATGAAATAATAGCCTTATAAGAAAGTAGAAAGAACAAATGTGATATAAATACCACTCTACACACATATATATCTACTTACCTCGTGGGCTAACATTTTATAGAGTTCTTCTCTAGTTACAGAGATCCTTTCTCTGTCTGTACTGTCCACAACAACAATTACAAACTAAAATAATTACAAAAAAAAACCATTAATGATTAACATAATTTGCTATTTGTAAAATATAAAATGCTTATTTGATTTAAAGATCATAAATATCAAGAAATGAGAATCTTATTGGAACACCAGAGATGTCTATCAATACTATACATTTTGAAACTTGAAGGTCTGATTCATTTCTAATTTAAATACATTTACTAGTTCTTAAGAGAAAACAAGGAAAAAAGAAAACATGGTGCTAACATTCTAGTATACAGAATATTCTGCTAATATCCTAATGAATATCTATCATGTGTATGCTTTCTAGATTAATGTCTTGAATGTTAATGGGCCTATATCCATCTATTTGTACTGCAAATCAAAAAGAAAAAGAATACATTATCATCCTAAATTTAAGTTACTTCTAGAGATAATAATGTTAATTTATGAATCTAAAAGGGATGTGTATGGGTATAAAATGATATGTTAAAGAAATTAATTTAAAAAATCAAAAATTGAAAGAATATGGCACCTACTATCTGCAAGCATAACTCTTTTTTGAACAGATGATGAAACCAGTATCAGATGATGCAAAGAAAGACATATAAAGGAGCTGTGCAGGACTGCATCACAATGACCCTTTTCCTTAACACTAGGAAGGTCACAAAGCACAAGGGAAACAAGACTACTTTACATATAGTTACTTCTGATAACATTGTTAATTCTGCTTGTGTATTATTAACAAACAATATTTATTCTTTCACAACTAGCTTTTTATTTCCAAATAAACCATTGAAATTTTCAGGGTCTTTTCTATTCTTCAGATTTCATCAACCATCAAGCAGATAGACAAGAGGTTGCTACATTACCTCTTCTCTCATTTGATACCTTGATGATGATATGTGGCTTTATTACTGTCAAGGCCCATTTAAGTCCAAGGCATTTTAACAAAGCTATTAATTTTCATGGTACAGACATGAGTTTGCTATCTGCAACATTACAAATGTAAGAGTACTAACCTTTCCTTTTAATTTCCCAAAAAATATGATCAAATGCTTAATGGAGTGATGGGGATCAGGTCATTAGACACACTAATCGTGTCTTAGTACCTAAAAAAATCACCTTGACATACATTTGGAGTTTTATTGACTTAAAATCAACACTACAAAAAACAAGTGTGACAGCCTTTCAATTTACAAGGTCTAGTCAATGAAGCTTTCAAATGTCACAGAGCTAAATTTTTTTCTTGAGAAGCAACATGTAAATAAAAGTATGCTGTCTAAATTGCTTTAAATCAAAAGAAAAAGGATTCTTTAATGTGCAACTGTGCTGCATAAAAGAAAATGCATAATAAAATTTTGGCCAGGATTCAAACCACCACTGCCCTCTCATTTCGCTAGGATTTTCTCTACTAAGGCAAAAATAAACAGAAAAGAGAAATGAAATTACAAACTGTGAGATGGAATTCACTATAAAACTACTTAAGACAAGTTCTGGGATCAATACACAATCAGACTAATCAGTCACCAATTCTTAACAAAGGTTGGGTGAGACAGTAGATATACAGAACAAGGACCTACAACAGGGAGTCAAAGATTCCACTGTTCAAATTCTACTTACATTACTATATTGTGATATTTAAAAAAGACGGACTATAAAATTCACATCTAGAAGGTATTTTCCAAGCACTCGGTTCACAGAAGTTTTAGGACATTAAAAAACATTACCTCTGTGTTAGTATAGTAAGTGTTCCAGGAAGAACGAAGAGATTCTTGGCCACCAATATCCCACATTAGAAAACGTGTATTATTAATCACTATCTCTTCTACATTACTTCCTATTGTAGGGGATGTATGTACAACTTCATTCATAGAACTGAAAAAAAAAAAAGTTCAAATACATGACAATTAGCAAGGACGCTGGATTGTTTAAATATTTTTTAATCAAGGGATACAAGATCTGGGGTATAGGCCAGAGGTGTGAGGGGTGAGAGGATTCACCAGAGACAGAGTGGGGAGCAGAACAGGCAGATTGACTGAAATACACTGCTGAGGGGAGCAGCTGACGAATCAAGAGAGGTCTGCTGCGCCATGTTGGGCATCGAACTCATGCTGCAGTGGCTGTGGATAGCTTCATAGATTGTGTCTTAACCCTTTGCGCCTCCAGGGAGGCCCCTTCTTTTGTAATTTATACACAAATGGCAAATGTGTGCCCTTTCCCACTAGCTCACAAAAAAAAGTGATTTAAGGTATTAAATAGAGGTGGAACTAGGTAGTAGACTATTTGGAATATTCTAGATTCATTCCAAGTAACTATATAAACAAGTATTTCTCTTTCTACCAGCAAAACACTTGACACTTGTTCAATGTCATGTCAGTTTATGGTTTTCTAGAACAGGGGCTTATAGCCAATCTGTTTTCTTACAGAATAATTTAGGTTCCACAACAGGCAGAAAAGTAACTATAAGCAATACATTTTTTTAAGTAGCTAATACTTACAATTGGTAAAGAATGGTAGTTTTCCCTGCATTATCCAGCCCAACAATGATAACTTTGTGCTCTGAAATAAAAATATCAGTGATTTATTAGTTAAAAGCAAAAAAATTTATTTTCCCATTTTATCTATTCATTGTATTTAGGGTATAATCAATGCACTGCACTTTATTCAGCCTAGGAACTTAAAAGAACATCCTAGCGAAACAGAAGTGTGCCATTAGTCTTACTCCTACTTGCTCTCACCCCCTAGAAAACCAGAAGCACTATATTCTTTCTATGTAGAAACTTATTAAAGTAACCCAAATATAGTCACAATTTACAAATAAAGTGTAAATGTTGCACAACGGACTAAAACTTAAGTTCTAACTAAGGAATTTTGGGTGTTAACTGGGTATGTGTGTATGAGATGGGGAGAATAGAAAAGAAAAGTAAAAGATAACTTTAGGTTCACCACATGTGACCTCATATGTGTACATTTAAACCATTCTAAGATAACAACCAAATTGAAGGGGGCAGAAATCCCCCCCACCTTGGCTTCTAAGTAAGGCCTGACTTTCTTCAAGCTTTCTTCCTATGTCTCTTAATGCCCTCTTACTCAACTTTTAACCAGCAAAATGAAGTGACACTGTGAGACCTCCAAGGCTAGATCAACACAAATTTTGCTGGGAACACCTGGCTCTCTTGGACAACTTCCCCAGGATAAGCCAGACACTGAATAAAACCTAAGGCTTGTTATCCCCAGACTGTTATGTAGATGAATGAGGAAGCCCAGGCTAATCAGGGGGCCTGACCCTCTAGAGAGAGATATACAGTTGCCCTCAGCTTTTCCAGTCATTCCAACTGAGACACTAGACACACAAGTAAAAGCCATGTTGTATAGATAGCCAGGTTGAACCACAAAAGACTAATTCTAGCTACCATCTAACTTCAACCAAATGAGAATCCCAAGCTAGAACTTCCTGAATGAGCCAGTCCACTCACAAAACCATGAGAGACAATAAAAATTGTTGCATAAAACACAGAATTTAGAAGTGCTTTGTTACACAGCAATAGATAACAGAAGCAGTATGGAAAAAATACATGCACTTATGTGACCTTGGGCAAATAACCTGCTTCTGTAACCCTAAGTTTCCTCATTATAAATTAGGAACAAGGTGGCCTAGGAGTTGAGCCTCAGCTTTACCACTGCAACTGCCTGAGTTTGATGTCCTGCTAGGGAGCTAACTCACATGGCGCAGCAGATCTCTCCTGTCTCACCTGCTGCTCCTCTCAGCAGTGTATTTCAGCAGATCTGTCTGTTCTGGCTCCCCACCGTCTCTGGTGAACCCGCTCACTGCCCACTCCTGCACCTCTGGTCTACACCCCAGTTCTTCTATGCAAAAATAAGTATAATCTCAAAAAAATAAATTAGGAACAATACTACCTATATTTAAGGGTTGTATGACACTCCAGACAGCACATGGACAGTACCTAACACCAAGAAAGACAGTTACCAATCTGTGTTCCCAAATCTTTCCTAAGCTCTGATCTACCTAATGGATAGACACGATGCCATTCAACATATCCAAAACCCAATAGTCAAACTTGCTTTGAATTCTACTTCACCATATTTGCTTAATGGTACCACATTAATTTAGATCTCCTTTGATTTTATTCAATCTTTTTATTAACCCCAGCATCTAATTTGTCACCACGGTCTACTGATTCCACCTCAAAAATATATCGTGAAGCTGCCTCCTCTCCACTGTACTAGATGTAGCCTTCCTCATACCTCACTGTAATACCTTTCGTAAGTGGACCAACTCAATCTACTTTCCCACTGCTTTTAGAGTAATTTTCTACACTATAAAGCCCATTATGTCACTCTTACTTAAATCTCTAACAGGAAGACAAGTATAAGTTGTCAATCTTATAAGTCAGTCACAAATGACTAGGCTTCACCTTTCTCTCACCACTACCACCAAGTACATGAAATGGAGTTTAAGATATTAGCTCTACATAAACTGCCATATATGTGCACAGCAAACATTTCTCTGCCTCCATTTATGGTTTTTCCTTGTGTTGGAATTATCCTCTCAAATTTTCCATTTGGGAAAATTCTGACTTATCTTTAGGTTTAACTTTACAATAAGAATAATTTTCTTCTGTTTTTCCACACATCTCTACTATAGGAATATAACTATTTACAAGAACACTAATTCTCTCAGCACAAAGAAGCATCCTTCAAGTACACAGATGACATTGTAATCATCTTAATATCTGTAATGATCACAACTTTTTTTTAATACAAAGTAGGTACTCAATAAATGGTAAATTAGTTAACATCCATTCTATAAACAAATGTTGAAGATGTTGAAGATCAATTCTCCTCAGAGTAAGGAGATCTTTAAGAAAAAGACTTTGTTAGATGTTTTCAAAATAGTCGCTATTTACCTGAGGGGAATTCCTAATGCTATACAGGTATTTACTGTTAATAAACATAGGAAGATCAACTAGAGACTTTTAATATAATGCATTTTACCCAATAACTCATTTCTTTTAAGAAAGAGCACTAGGGTCCTAAAGTGACAGCCATAATTTCTCTAAAGAGGTTCTTAAAATCCATCTTAAAGAGAGGTCAGTCTGTTTTTGTCTTTAGAGCAGACTAGGGTGAAGACATTGAGAAAATGATCAAATACAAAACTGATACTTATTGAAAGCATAAGTTAGTAACATGAGAGGGCATGCTGTAAGGTCAGTCGAATGACCACCAAAAAAACCTCTGGTGACATTCCTTTGGTGAACTTACCTATTTTATGGCTCTTAGTCTTCCAGATCTACAAACTACTATCCCAAAGTAGATAAGATTTAGGGACAGAAACTGACAGAAATCACTAATACATAAATAAGAGTGCCAAAATGAATATGCAAGTCCAAATGTTCAAAACTTCCCAACAAATGTAGTTTCCTCTCAAAGAAAAGTATACAGGGTTGCTGAGTTAAAATCAGAAAATTACTAGGGAAGTATGGAATGCCATCAAAGGGAATATTATAAAGTGTAATAACTGCTAAATCCATCTCCCTGTAGAACCACACTTTCATCAAGATCAGACTGAGTTCTTGGAACCAGGTGCCTCTACACCTGGGAAGTTTTTAAATGGCATGGCAATTTTGTCTCCCTAATTCTACATTTTTATGTCTCTCAATTAAGTATTTCCCCTTTGGTAACATATCTCATCATAATAAAACTGGTTATATTAAGATAAGCATCTAAACAATTTAACACAAGTAGAATTCTTATTATGCCATACTCTGATTTCTGACTTGAATGAAAGATTTTACCTTCTCACTTTAATAGTAATTTTTTGTTAATAATGTCATTCTCAGGCCTCCCTTGGTGGCGTAGGCGGTTGAGCGCAGCGCTGTGAAGCTGTCTGCAGCCTCTGCAGCGCTGGTTCGATGCCGGCCAGCGAGGATCCCACATGGCGCAGCAGACCTCTCCTGCTTCGGCTGCTGCTCCACTCAGCAGTGCATTTTTCGTCAGTCCATCTGTTCTGTTCCCCGCTTTCTCTGGTGAATCCTATCACCCTCCCGCACATCTGGCCTCTACGCCAGTTCTTGTATAAATAAATAAATCTTTAAAAAAAAAAAGTCATTCTCAAAATGTCAACTTATTGTTACATTTCAGGACTATCATTCTGTAACCCCTTATATATTAGCTGCAGGACTAACAGGCAAACTTGCCAATACTCAGAAAAAAATACAATTACTCTGACCAGTGAGAGAAATGTACCCTAAAAAACAGTACTAGATTAATAGGAGCAAATCTAAAAGAGAAAAATGTAAACAAAGGTTAAGAATCTATAATATATAACTACAAAGAGGAACTTAAAAATGTGTGTGCACATGTGTGTTAATAACACAAATAAAAAAGAATAATCTCTTACAAGGTCCTCAATCATATAACCTCTGAAAATGAATTTTATTTTAAATAGGAGAGAGGAGTCACTAGTTATCTTCACAGCCAGTAGGTTAAAAGGTAGTTAAAATAAGTGCTATTTTCAGTTCTTAAAAGAGGTATGATCCTAAACGATAAGAATAACTTAAAATTTGTCTCTAAAATTCTAAAAGGAGTTTCAAAAGGCATTTTGAGTAATAGTAGGGCATATATTTGGCCTCCTAAACTGTTATCTTTTAAGGTGAAAACCCTACCTGCTTCGGTTTTTAAAGTGGTCTCCTTACTTAAGCCATGCTCCAAGACTCATTTCCTGGTTCCAAAACAGCACTTTTCTACCGTTTCTATAAGGAAGGCCTAACTAAGCAAAAAACACTAATGAAGGATTCTTTATAATACCTGACCACAAACTGAGCATGATAAGCAAGGTAAAACTTCAGTGAACTTTACCATTGTGTAATAATACACAAGTATGTAACTGAGATAAAAACAGATGGCAGAAGCAGTCCAGGTACCAGAAGAATTCCATCTTCTCATAGTTGCCTGCTGAATATAGGATGTGGCTAGCAGTTTCAAGACATTACATCTTTTATAGCCACTATATACAGTGAATTAGAGAATCACTCAACAAACTAATATTAGATAACATGACCTACAAAATAGGTGAATTTGGAGCTAAAAATATTAATACTGGCACAGCCCACCCCTTTGGCTACTCAGCTTCCTTATATGCTCTTGTACATGTTAGAACTCCCATAGAACACATTTAATGATTTGTGCAAGATTAGGGTCTAGGTGTTTTATGCAGGTTAGTTAATTTAGAAACCACAAAATAATTTGCACTTGCAAAGTTTAATTTAAAGAAAATAATTATTATAAGGTAGAAGTAATGAATAACTGACAAATAAGCTGTGACTCTGAAAGATTACAGAAATGACAAATAAAAGCAGTACCTACCTAGGGTTGAGATAAAGCTTCCCCTCAACCCCCAGGTCTAAGATACACATCCTGCTAGAGAATCTGGGCATGGCTCACTGAATGGCAGCGAAGTAACTGTGTGAGTGCTTACCAATTAATCTTATTTGGGACTCCTTCCTACAGGGTGTTAGAGAAAACTGTTCACTGGGAAGTATGTATTTTACTGGAAAGCCTGCATTCAAAAATCAACTAAGTTGATTGCTGGTTGCTGCTGACTAGTCACTATGAAGGGCAAGAGTCAGCCACTAGAGAAGATGTTCACAATGCAAGACCAGGACAGAGTCCCGCTGAGAGAGAATATTGTACTCTTTCTTCCTGTAACATCCCTTCAATGCAATGACAAAGCTTAGCACTGTGCCACCTGCAAAATACTTAAAAGGATACATCTTTACATCCACAGAACATGCAAACTAGGTAAATTTGGAGCTAAAAATATTAATACTGCCACAGTCTACACCTTTGGCTACTCAGCTTCCATGTATGCTCTTGTACACATTAGAACTCCCATACAACACAAAAACAGAAGCAGAAGTGACATTCCCAGAACCAGCCTCCAGCAACACACAGGCAGCTTCTCCAGCACTCTTTCATGTCACTCCTTTTATAAGAACCAATCATAATAATGCTACAAAGCTATCAGTGGGGGAATTTTACAACTTCTTTCATATAGTTCACATCGGTGTTCAGAATTTTCTTCTTTTATCTAACATATATTCTTCCCATGCAAAGAAAGTTTTGTTTTTTAAGAGCACTAACTCTGGAACTAGACAATCTTGGTTAAAACCCCAGGTCATTAAAAGACTGAATGCCCATAAGGCAGGGAGAATTGTCTCTTTTGTATCCTGCATTATCTCCACCACCTCTAGAATAGCTGCAGGCACAAAAACAGCTGCTCAAAAAATTTAAAAATTATCCACTGATAACAAGCTCTTCTACACTAAAAGATGCTAATGGCAATGCTTCAAAGTCCTAAAGTAATAAAGATCTAGAGTTTCATAGCTGAGAAATAGATAATGGGGCAAAAAAAATTATAGGAAAAAAATGACACAGCACTAGTCTTTTTTCTTTTAGACCAATGTCAGCAACATACTTCTTCAATGTTTTAACTTGCCTAGCTTTGGTATTTGCTAGTTGCTGGGCCCAAGAAAAATCACTCTTCTGGAACCCCAGTTTCGTCTTTCCAAAGAAAAATAATAACTACCTCAAAGTAAAATTGGAAGTTTTAAAAAAACAATGTATAAAGAAGTAGTCAATCATTATTTCCTCAAATATTATAATATACATACACACTACATATACAATAGCACCTAGGACAAAGTTTGCACCCTGCTGAATTTCAGCATCACCTACATGCAGCCTCTGGTTTTTCAAGTTTGAGCAGTCCACAATCAGCCTTTGCTGTGCATTCAGCCTATCTAATCTTTCTTTTTTTTTTTCTTTTTTTTTTTTTTTCGGTGGGACCCTCACCGGTGGCCAGGGATCGCTCAACCCTTGCGCCACCAGGGGAGGCCCAGCCTATCTCATCTTAAACTGAAAAAAACTGAGGTAAAGGGGTTTCAGGGAAAAAGAACATAGATTCGTTCTGTATCTTCTGAACACAAAATAAATCAAGACAGATATAACACACAAATACATATCTCCAATTTAACACAAAATCAGAAAGACTAACAAGTCATCTGGGCTTAGATTTAATGGCGACTATTTAGGAAAAAAAAGACTCTACCTATATCACCAATTAAAGGAGAAATAGTTCACCCACATTTGCATAATATGACATCTTAATTTCTAGAAAATTAATTTCATTAATTCCTCTATAATTTTCTATTACTGAACTAAATTATCGATCAAAAATTACCACAAAATACAAATAGAAGGTCACTGTTATTAGTGATTTTTAGTGGCAACAAGGCACACATCATTAATGGCAAGCAATTGGTAAAGCTCTAATTCATTAAGTTACAAAACCAAATAATTTTATCAGACTCAAAATAGAAAATGGAAATATGCAATTTTTTTCAGTACTAGAATAGAACTCAATTAGCAAGCAAGTTCTTAAATTTCAAAGCATAGTTGAAGCACTAGATTCACTAAAAATAATACAAATTTATTCATGTTAAAACTAGAATAGATTTGAAGGATTTATCTACCATAAGCACCACTGGTTTTACAGCAATGTAAGTCTCAATTACTGTGACTTAGACATTAAGTATTCAAGATTTGTAGGCTCCAGTCAGTCAAGATCCCCCTTGTCCTAGATGAGAAACACCTAGACCCAGAGAGCTGAAATGACTGGTTCCCACTCTTCAACAGAAAACAGCTAGCCAGAAACAAGACCCATTATAACTGATTTTCTCCACTTTGTGAAATTCCCATATCAAAAAAATCATTTGAAATACTGTTTCATTTAGTGTCATATAATCAACACTATCATTTTTTTTTAAAGATATAATAAGATCACAGGTAGTTCTGCTACTTCCCATCACCTTTCTTATAGGAACAGCTGGATCTTGAAGGAAGAGATAAGGGTAAATAAAGGTAGTACATAATTACACTACCCTTCATTTAAATTGGAGAATTTCGGGATATGATACCACCAACAGCTTACACAAAAGAGAAACAAAAACTATTACTGACAGCAGGAATGATTAACTTGAGTTTAAATGAAACAAAAAGTACACCACTAATTCCATCATAATGACTATGGAGTCTAGTTGCAACTGTATTCTTTACCTAGTTTGATACTCATTTTGTAACACATTTTAATAAACCCAACGTGCATTTCACAACAATGCTTGGATTTCAATGATTTTAAACATTCCTATATACTTTGTACCTAATAACCTGCTAGCTACATAGGGTTTGCAAATGTTTCATATGGTATTATTAAATACTTTCAGCGAAACACTAACATATTTGAATCCAGCCCCCCCCCCAAAAAAAAAACTCTTATAAGAAACTCAAGTAGGAAAATGACCTTAAACTTAACCTTACACATATACATGGTAAATGGAGAGAGGTCCATCAGGATTCGGGATGCAGTCTCCCCAAAAAGGGGTGGTGGTACAAGAAGGCTCATAACCCTGAGGTGTATTGGACAAGAGATTCCTCATCTTTTCCGCATTCTGCAACCCCGGTCGCTCAGCGGTGCGGCGGGGGCCATAACCTCCATCCCAGGGGATCCCAGCATTTCTCCCTGGTGTCCAAAACCAACCGCTGGAGGAAAAGTGACCCAAAGACAGGCCAGGCCGAGCCACTCACGAACGTCGCAGGTAGGGCAGGGAACCTTTTTCACCACCATTAGAAATCCGAGCAATGGGTGTATTTGCGGAGAGGGTTTCCTCGGGAGGTCCCCTCAGACAAAAGCCTGCGGGTAAGCGGCCACCTCCCCCCCAGCTCCCGAGTGGGCGCGAACCGCCCGGGCCCGCAGCTGCGCAGCCCGCACCTGGCACAGACACGGCGCCCGGCCGCGCCGCCCACACTCCGGAAGTATTCGGAGACCCCCCCCCGCCCGGTGTGACCCTCTCCCCCACCCGTACGCCCTCGGCCGGAGCCCCTCACCCTGGTGATTGAACAGTCTCCATATCCTGGTGAAGAGAATTCCCATTCTCAGGCAGCGGACCCCCCTCCAGCCGCCCGGGCCGCCCGGCCTCCCCGGCTCAGGCTGAAGGGGCGGACAGACACGCGCCGGAGCCTCTGCTGGTGCTGCTGCTGCCCCGCTGGCCGCCGGCCCGCTTCCTAGGAACCGGAGGGAGGCCGAAGCCCAGGCCGTCCTGCCGCGCGCGAGGCCTCGCCGCTGCCGCCGCGGCACTCGCCTGCCTCGCGTACATCGCCGCCGCGTTGTCTGCGACGAGCCTCGCGGGCCACCGTCCTCCCCCAGCTCCGCACGGGCGGCTGCGGTGGCGGCGACCACGCGGGCGGGGGAGGCGAGGGACGGGGCGGGGCGGGGCGGGCGGGAGCCGACGGCGCAGGCGCGGGCCGGAGGGTGGGGTCTAGAAAAAGGCGCCCGCCTGGTCCTTGCTTATCTATTTGACTGGGCGACCTGTGGGCGGCGGGACTGAGCGCGGGGAGCGTGCCAGGGCTGGGTGTGAGTCAGGGCAGATGGCTCCCGACTGCTTGCTGTAGTGTCCCGTCAAGTTTTGTTTTTCCCTGCCTTTCTCCCCCAGAGCCTGTGTAAACATTATTGGGTGCCCACCCCTAATACTGCACACACCCTACGCCCGAAGTCCCACAACCTGACTCTCGAAGATGGCATTCTAGAAAGTTCTTTGAGCAAAGCTTAACAACTTTCTCAAGCCTTTGCTACCAGCTTTCCCCCTACTCCCCATCCCCACCCCCAACCCCAAGCTGAAACCCAGACCTTACCCAGGCAGTCGCCCTAAGGCGGGCTTTGTATCTCAGGGCTCTTAGGGCTCCTTCTACTTTGAGGTCAATTTTGCCCAAAGCAACGAATTTTATCTCGTGTGTGTGTGTGTGTGTGTGTGTGTGTGTGTGCGCAATATATATATTGACACACAATTGGTAGCCATTAAAGCTGAACAGGAAAGTCCAAACACTTTTCCCACGTAAAAACAGAGGATTTGCCCTGAGGTCTTCCTTTGAATCTAGGTCATCTGATGACTGCGGTTATTAGTCTCTACTCTTGTGGGAGCCAGAGGTGGAGGAAAAAACAGGTTGTTTACTTCTTTTTCTCAAAGAAACCAGAAACAGTTCCATCCTCTTCTAGTCCCATAAAGAGAAAGAAAAAGCGGAAATGTAAAAAAACCGTTTTGTAGTGCTTTGTCCTCGGCCCCCTCGCCCCCCACCCACCTTGGCAAGAGCTGAATAAAATTAAAAGAACTAAAAAACAATAAAGTGTCCCTTCTATTTTACCTCTCTTGGCCATACACAAGTTTACCTCAAAATATAGAAAAGTCCACATGTGTAAGGCCTGGAGAGTCTATAATTCTCCTCAGTTATCTAAGCTAGAAAATGTGTATCTGTAGAACAAAGAGCATTATTGAGGACTGAAATGTGTCTCTTTCTGAATAACTGTGCAAGGAAGAGTTCTTTGATCTCTTTTGGAGCTTATGGTTTAAAAGTCAAAGTTTACAGAGACATAAAAATGGAAAGAAAATCAAAGCATTTTAATTTATAGACTATTTGCATAATAAAGTACTCTAGGCTGCTTAGGGAAAAAACGCTTGCATAACCAATTTATGTTAACTGTTATTTCCCTTGTGGGTAGTGCTTTTGGCAGCTCTAAAACATTTTGCAAACTCCCCACAAGTCTGTAAATTTACCTAATGGATATCATATCCATATTAGACAAAGTAGGGCTTCATGTTTTATAATCTATATTAAGGAAATGGTTTCCCAGATTATTTTCTAAGTGTTTCTCAAAAGACAAAAGAAGTGAATATAGCTAATTCAATCTTGTCCAAGTCTAGGATCCATTGGGTGAAATACAAATTTGGAACTACTATAGACTAACTGGGAGTATTTGTTGAGTGATATGAAGCTATTTATGAAAACAACTCCTTATGAAACTGTGTACAGACTAACTTAACCATGATTATCATACTGTGAAAATGTCATTGGAGAGTCTGTTTCTACTCTTCACAAGAAAGCAGGATGGTCTGGAATTACCCTGCTACCATTAACAAACAGAAAATTGGACAAAGTACAGAAAAGTACTTTGTTTTAAAATATTGGACAACACACAGCACAGGACAGTGATCCCTAGTAAGAGATAGAAACAAGATGCGTTTCACCTTATTTTTTACCTGGATCTTTCTGCCTGGAGGCAATTTCCAGACATCTATGGAGGGATGGAAACTGATATAGAATTTAAAATTTGTGAAGTAGAGAACTGAAAGAAGGTAGCTACACAGATAAGAACTCCAGAAACCTACATAGGTCAAGTCACTCTATTTACATAGCAGTTTGTAGGTAAGTGTGCAATATTAAACCCCATCAGGCTGACCAATCACAATTTCTGAAGAAAAAAATAAGTTTCAGGGAGCTGTAAAACAAGTAATTTCCCAGAGTTTGCAGGGGATCAGGAATCATTTGTGTTCCCTTTAGTCAGAGTGCATTCACTGAAAATAGGGGACATTCAGTAGATATCTCAGAAACCTTAGAAGGGTAGCTAATTAGCCTGAAAATAATTGCTACTCTAGACTGGTACCTAAAAAACAAACCTTGGTACTTTTGGTGCTAGTGGGCAAGGTGTGAAGTAATGTGCATACCTAAAACATTTACAATGATGTAAACCAATGTTATCTCAAACACAAATAAATTAAAAACCTCCAAGGACCAAACTGATCCACAGTTGCCTGTCAAATCGAGTTCAACATTCTTTAAAGGAATATAGGATCAAGTCATCCATGATTGATAATGTCCTGAATCCAACAGAAAAAAATTACTGGACATAAAAAGAAACAAAAATGTGATCTTCAACCAAAAAAGAAACCTCCCTACAGAAACAGATCTTGGTATAATGAAGTTAATTGCCCCAAGCTTAGAGCTAATTGTTGGTGGATGTAGGCTTTACAGCCAGATAAGGGTTAGAGCCCTCAATCTAACTACTATGTTTGTCTGTGTATTGTATGATAAGTCAGATGTTTCTCTCTCCAATCCATTTTATTAGTGGAGATGTGCTAATGGCAAGAAATGGCTTCAGACATATGGCCAAGTTGATGGAATAATTACAACTAAACTTCATTTCATCCAGTTGGGAGTTTGGGATTGTCTTGAAATGTCTTGATAGTTCAGGCAACATTACATAGTACTCTTCAATAACTGAGCTAGAATTCATTCAGTCAACGTTAACTCTACTCCAGGTATTGTTTTCTATGTTTCGGATGACTACCTAGCTTTAAAGCATTTAATATACTTATTCTTAGATAAAAGTATTAAACTTTGGTTTCCTTGTTTGTAGTTGGAACTAATAATCCATACACTGCTACTTCGCAGAGTTTTCAGATGGATTAAATGTATTAATACTTGTGAAATAAGTTGGCTATAATAAATCACTTTATAATTCCAATACAATGATGATAATCAATACAGTATACATTTCTTTTGAACTTCCTGTACACTGTAATGAGAAAAAAGTCAATCAAGCCATAGTATGGACAACTGACAGAACACATGAATTGTCAAGTGATAAGCCGTATAACCTCCATGGAATTCTTGCAGGTACAGGATACCTTTGGAAACTTCTGGTAACCACTACATTAAAGTAATCATTTAGGGGTAGCCTGTGAAAAATAAGGTTTATCTAATACATTTTTCTCTGATGTATTCAATCCTATTTACTCATGTATTTTACTTCACATGTTTTATATATTTAACTTACCAGCTCTTTCCTAATATGGTATGTTTTTTGTGATCACTCACAGCACCTAACAGAGTATTCAGGAAATAGTCATTTAATTGAGTCTGTGTTTTGTGAGTAAACACTTAGAATTTTTCTTCCTATAAGAGCTGAATGAATATATCTCTTGATTTCCAGTATTTTTTCAGTATATCTCTAGAATAATATGAAAGAGAGATATAACGCTGATTTCAGTGTTTTTTTTCATTTATTATATAAAAGAAAAAAATTAATGCAGTTGGTTTGTACACATTTAAAGTCCATAAAACAAATCCATAGAAATTAGGATACTATATGCATGCACTCTGCATTTTCTTTGTTAAATGTTTTGGGTCACAAAAATAACACCACATTTTTTTCCTTAAAGCCACTAAGCAGAGGGAGAACAGAACATGCAGCACTGTACACATTTGCATAGTATATTTTACCCAGCATGCCTTGTAGAATGCTACACATTTACCTATATAAGAAAAATAAAAAGGAGGGGTAAATTATCAAAATAGAGAACTAAAATTTAAAGAAAGGAAAAAATTACTTGACAAAGAAAATATTTTCCCCACATTATAGCTGGAGATATATCAATAGCCTGGGAAATCAACAGCCCTCAGAATAGCAGAGAAAAATGTTTTACATTAATTTGCCATATTAATTTTACTAGTACTAAGTTTGTCTGTTTTGCCCTCCCACCACCCCTCAAAAAAAATAGTTAATGGTTTTTTAAAATGGTATTCAGTGCAAAACAAATGGAAGAATCCTAAGTACTTTTGTTGTTGTTGAGACTTCTTTATCATTCTGACTCTGGGCTGTGAAAAATAGGAAATATTTCAAACATGTCCAAAATTCATAGGAGCCCTTTCAGCTCATTTGTTGTTACTTTGCAGTTTTACTGAAGGAGAATGAACAGTAAATATAGTATGTGTCTTATCACAAAATAAAGTTTAATTTGTTTTATGGAAGGGAATAAAACAAAAGAAATTACATACACAGATTGCAAGGCTATGAAGTAAATTGCTGGAAAAGTATCAAGCAGCAAGTTAAAAAGATGGAAGATGAAATAAATCTGATAAAACTTAGAACTAAATCTATATATTTTTAAAAAACACAACTGCCAAATTTAACAGTGGATTTTGCTGTAAGTTTGTGCTATAACAAATGTGCTTCTTTCTCCTCAATCTATTTTCATATAATTGGCAAAATATATATCTTTTATAATTTTGTACTGTACAATATATGTTTTTGCTACATTATTTCTCTACTGCTAATGCAGATTAGAAGTAACAACATAGATTTATTTTGGCAATAAAATGCTTTCGTCTTAATAACATCCCAGAAAATATTGTAAGGCATATGAAAAATAGTATGCAACAATATAGCATTAATGATCCTGCATCTTTAATACATCCCTTTATGCATACAGAATTCACACTGATTTCAGTTAAAAGTGTGTGAGGTGGCATGCAAGTAGGGCAAGAGTGGCCCCTACGTAAATATAGACATAGCTATTTGTTGAGAAATTTAAGTGTTCAAAACATAACCAAGAACACTTATATAAGTATTGAAAAGCCAGAGGCCAGCCACTTTTGGTTCTTAGATAGTTGTCATTTTAACTCCTTAAATTTTTCAAAGAGGGTCAGTGTATTGCCCAAACCACTCTAAATTTATTAGCAACACTTTCTACCATCTTTCTGCAAACATCTTACATACATCAAAAGAAACAAAAGGAAAGTTTCATAAGTAAATATGACTTCCCAAAACTGATTGCTATTAACTCTTATTTATATGTTTTTCAAAGTAAGTGGGAGTTACAGCCCTTAGTCGAGATTATCTGAGGAAATACTTTCTACTCTTGTCATAATGTCCCCCAATTACATGAAGCATCTAGGATTAAATCATCCATAAGTAGATAGAGATAGTTGCTTATGAGGATGTATTTCATTTTAAAAAGTTCACATTTTAATAAAAGAAGAAAACTTTAAAAAGCAATTTTTGAATATTGTAGCTCTGTCTGCCCGTACAAATCAATTTTACTATTTTGACTAACTTGACTGCTTAAGTCAACAACAAAAACAATCCTTATCAGTCTGACTATTGTATTGACTGATTTGATCATGACTATAATTTAAAAGAGTACTATTCTCTGCCTTATAGAGATAGCTTGAATAAGAAACTTAGTAACAGTTACAGGAGTAACAGTATTCAAAGGTCTAAGGGACTAATGAAATAAATTTTATTACATAATTTCCTATACTGTTTTCATTCACATAGTCATTCAAAGATGAGATTTCTATCCTTAAAAAGAAAAGAAAAGAAAACATGCAACATTGTCATGAAAGACAAAAGCAGAAAAATAGAAGAAGGGGTACATTAGCATTTATTTGAAACTTTATATGAAGTTTGTTTCAGTGACATGGAAGTCCAAGATAATGCATTTCTTCACCCAGCAAGTGGCTAGTGTCCATTGAAGACAATAGGATCAACAAAAGTTGGATTTGCAACCAGCTGCACTTAAACATCATGTCTCTGGATCTTCTCTCTTTTAGACTTAGAGCTAGATATTAGAAAAAGTTATACACAAAGGCAATTCCCTTGTAGTTTGTTTTGTTCCGTATGATGACCGATTTATTAACCTTGTCTCCTGATAAATTGAACCAATTTAAAGAAAGCTTCACTGTAACATGAAAGAAATGAAAGGGTGACAAAAAGCACTTTGGAAACAGTTTAAAATCTAAAGGGAAGTTATATTTTAGCAATTTATGCATTTTACTTTGCAGCAAGGTTAGCAGTTATAATAATAAATTTTATCATTACTTACTGAGAAGCGCTTTTCTCCTTAAAGACAGAGAGTCTTCTCGAGAGAAGAGGTAGTACAGATTAATATATAGGGCAATTTTTATAATGGCATTATGTTTATTTTTTAGCAAATATCAAAATAAAATGTATAACTAAGAAATACACTAGCATGCAAATCAAGGTTGCCAAGAAACATTCTTAACTGACATTCTGGGTCTCAACAACATTTTATGATATGTTCATTCAAAGAGTTTAAAATTGCAAACCATCTGTTGGCATAATTTCTTCCTCTCCCTCCTTTTCACTGCCCTAGCTTCCTATTATGAATTTTTTAAGGCCCCCACACAAAAGACAAGTTCAAGTATGCAGGTATGAAAAGAGGTTAACATTCCAAAAATACATTTTGCAAACAACAGCAATAATAATTAAAGTAATCAACAAATTATCTAAAGGGAACAAATAATGTTCTCAGAATGTTTTATATTTAAAAAATTCATTTCATTAAGTACTAAGTGCAATGTTATCACATAATTAAGACTCTCTTATTAGGAAAGACTACCAGTCTAAATCGTTAATTTCAATTTTCTTTCCAATAGAACTGTATAAAGATAAGAGAATCATTAGTCATTTATAAACATTTCTAAGTGTTGCTTTAAGTATTGGAGTAAACAAGGTAACACTGTAGATTATAATATTGGAGTCACATTATAGCCTTGAGAATTAACATCAAGATTGACAAATTGCATTCCTTTTTTCCCAGGACATTTCTACATTGTCACATGAGTCTATACTGTTACATGTTTGCTGACAGAAATGACAGGATATGTAATTTACTATTCTGGAATTACATATACTGAAATGACAAAATACATGGTTTATACTACAAAACGGCTTCAAAACATTATAAGACTTGTTTCCCCTGCTTATCATTTGCTATTTTTAAATGAAATCAGTTCAAAACAAAGTATTTGTGGAACATGTATTTTTTTAAAGGTGCTCGATGTGCTTGGCAAAAATAAAATTTTCATTTACTATATATCTGTATTTTAGTATCATTTACACAATAACCTCTAAGGCCTAAGAAAAGGAAAATGCATATCTCATCCATTTGGAGAAGACAAACTTATTAAAAAAGAAGGAGAAAGACTGTACCAAATCAAAGCAAAGTTTTAAATATACCCATCAAGAAAATATACATTATACCCTTTCAAAGACTGTTAGCTTCTGAATAAGAATGCAAAGCAAAACAGGTTTGGACACATGATGGTAAAAGACAGATTGGTTTTGTGCACAGATGGACCTCTTTCTTTATGGGCATGACATGGAAGACTTTGAAACAAGGCTTTGAGAGGCCTTTAAAAATAACTTTCCAAGCTGAAAGAAAATGGTAATCTTGCCCACTAGGAAATATATGTTAGTGCTGTTACAGCTACCTGCCATAAAATGTAAATATCTTAAAGTAGTTAAATGACCAGATTGCTAATGCTACTACAAAAAAAGCTGAACAGCTGTCTAGTCTAAATTTATACACCTTGGTGCACTCTTTGCAATTAAATACTTTAACACGCACAAACAAGAAACCCGTAAAGCATATAGAAAAATGTTTTGGCTAATGTTTTCTCTCTCATGCAAATATGTGCTGTACATGTAATAAAAATGTTTTTGTTTGCTGGAAAATGCTCTTCTGTGCTCTAACAAAGTATTCAGTAATGGCAGGTTATATGTTTATTAAAGTGCTTAATGGATACAGTTCTTTAAATGCCTTAACTGAAAGTTCTATAAGCTTCACTACATGACAAAAGAACCTCACAAGCCAGTATCACGTTAACTTTTAGAATTTACTGAGCCCACATTTTTCAGTTGAATCAAATATTTGCGGTAACTTATATAACTATAGGCATCCTCATTATCAGCTAAACAAGTTCATAATGAAGAAAATGAATACAAGGGGAGGTATGTATGGTTCAAGATATGTATGACTAATCAAGAATATGGAACTTATTTTTATGGTCAGGAAAATTATTTAATGGATGCATGCTTTGAGAGCTTAAATATTGAAAGCATGTGGGAAAAATAAGATAACAGAAGTTGAATTATTGTTGTTTTCCCAAAAAAGATTTTATGACATGTACCAGTAGAAATTTTATGCTGGGCTTTTTGGGGCTTTAGGAAAATGCACACATTGTGGACTTTTAGAAACAAGAAACTTTTCCTAAAGATAGTTGTGTATTGTATAAAGGGGTCAGTTTCAATAATTTTTTGGATCATATTGATTCTAAGACTTCCTTGATATTATAATGCATAAAGTCACTCATTCCATAAGAATAGTCCCTGGAAAAAAGCTGGGAAGTTGTAATAGGAGAAGAGAAGTGTTCATTAAAAATAAGGCAGCTCAATCTCCAAATTCTTCATAATACTTTATAATAGAAATGCTATAATTTTAGTGATCAAATATATTCTGAGCCTACGAGTTTATTTTTTATTGCAAACTATTTAACTCATCATTTTTAATTAATCATTGTGTATGAACACAGTTTTCAATATCAAAATTGAATGTGTCCATGTAAACTGAAAAGCCTTAGCAAAATTATAAAGATTTGGTGAAAAGCTAGAACATTCAGATATTCAAAGACAAAGACTGAGTGGAACAATGGGAAGTATTCAATTGTGCTGATGTTTAGCTTTGAAATCAAGAGGCTCTATGTCCATTTTTTTACTGTCTGATTTCAGATTCCTGGATGTATGTAGTTGTGCTCAGATTGATTAAAGGGGAAACAACACCCCATTTTCCATTTCACATAACCATCTAAAGAGACGCGATTGGGCTTCTCTTTATTATTCTTTCTCACCGCTAAAGACATTTTAAGTTTTTTTTTTTGCTAACTTCAAACAAGTTAACAGTAGTGACTAAACAAAAAGCAAAACACTTTGAATACAACAGCTTTGCCAGGGGAAAAATAAAAATATTAAAATCTGAGAAGACTATAATTTCTGCATTAATTTGATTTTTTTTGGCACTATCAATACATTTGGTAAGTTTGAAAAGCCATTCTGGCAACATTAACACATATTAAAATGTTTACATTCCAACTTTAAGTGTAAATTTAGCTTCCAGCAAATAAATACCACAGCTGGTTTTGGCTCCTATTGGCATTTTGATTTTCTTATTACTTAGATTTTTTTTCAGATTTTTTAATTGATTGATTGCAACATGCTCAAGTAGACTTTCTAGTCAATTCACCCAAATTCCAACAGGAATTGGTTTATAAATTGGTTCCAACTGGAACTGGTCATTTGGAATTTCCAGCATGGGAAATTATTTTATATGTGCCTTGATAAGTACCCTAAATTACAAATTGACGTCTAAATCTAATGAAGAAAACAAAAGGTACTGTTATGTAAATGTTGCACTTAAAAATATCTATATGATTGGGCATCTAATATCCATCTAGACTGAAGGGCATAATGTACATTTTTTTGCCCCTTACTTAGCATCATATGACATCAGCCCATAAGCACAATAAATACTGTGCTGTACTTGCCAAGTTAAGATGATTGGTTTATCCTAGCAGTGCTATGGCAATTGTCAACAGATGAATTTTTGTAGTTGTTTCTGCAGACTCAAAGCCTATGTCGGGAGTCATGGCTATATCCCCCAGGCGATCCTCTGTTCCTATGGGGTTTGTAAGTGTCCTGGTAAGAGTCAGGATAATCTTCTTCCACAAGAGGGTAATGATCTCGGCTATGCTGAGAACTGGAAGACAAGCGGTTCCTACTCTTCCGAGCCCTTTCGTTGTGATAATTTTCATCAGAGGTCATTAGACTTCGTCTTTCAATTGGAGAGTTCTCTGTGGAGTGGTTGCTGTGCCTCACACGCTGACTCTAAAAATACCATAGTTCATTAATTAAATAACGTCAGCTTCAATCACTTAGAACAGACAAATGTTTGTACAATGCTAGGATCTGCACAATAAGATGTTAGATATCTCACTCAAAAAGCATTTTGATACATAAATAGCCAGCTCAAAATATCTGGTCTTATTTATTCAGGGCATAACTTACGAAGATGCCTAAGTATAGATGGTTAATGAATTAAATTACATAATTAAACAGGCTGCCTATTAAAAATATAGAATTGAAAGTTAACTACTGAATGGAACTTAATATATTTGGGAAGACCTAATAATTCCACTTCCATTGCAAAAATGAGGATTATTTTGCTTTTGGGAAATAAGTTAAAGTTCAGCATAGCATCTATGCTATGATGCTTCTCTTACACTGATAAAATCTTTTCCCTTCTAAAGTCACACACTTCACCTTTATTTAGCTGAATATTTCTTATACCTTTAAAAATATTTTTAATGAAATTATAATTTTTGCTGCCAATAAAATAATGTGTTTCTTTTGCATCCTACATAAACCTAAGACTTTTAGCAACCTAACTTTAAAAGTATAGTGGATAATTATGGAGCCAACTGAAACAGTGGCAAATCTTGCTTTCTCAACTGAAATATTTTGCAAGAATAATCTTCCAATATAAACTAAATTCTTCCAACACCATTAACTGAAATTAATATCTTCATATACTTTTTGATATTTCAGATAATGTTACTTGATATTTTTCTTCAAATCATTGGAAATATGTATCATAGTTGTGTCTACCTGCTTAGGTAGATCACTTCTGTTAAGAAACAAAATCCTGATGAATCCAAGGACCCTGATGCATTAACTTAAATTCACACAGAAGGAAACTCATTCAACTGTCACAGCCTGTACTTTTAACCACAGTCAAGAGTCTAATAAGTAAGTGCCTGTGGTTATTTGGAAAACTAGGCCATAGGATAAAGGATACCACATTAACTCATCTGTGAAACTGGGAGAACCACTCTAGAAGAGTGTCTTAGAGATGATGAGTTGAGAGGGTGATATTCATAAACAAAGTGGTACATTTCATGTTTACATATGTTAGAGAAGCATATTGCTTCATGCATCTGTTTCTCATGCTACAGGTACAATTCAGAGCTATCCAAACGAGTGAGTGGAGCCACACTGGAGCAGTGAAATACACATACACGCAGTGAAATAAGGCAAAAAAATAGTCCTGTTGCATACATATGTATTGTATTTTACAATAGCACATTTCCCATATTCATTTCTAGCTTCAACAGCTATTCATTTATATGGCCATTTTTCTGCTTAGAAAGATGCAATTTTGTAGTAGGGTAATACAGTTATAATAGCATTTCCAAGAGTGCCATTTATCTCAGAGTTAACTCTACATGATCTACAATTATGAGGAGCATTATAGCCCATTAAAACAAAACTAGTCATGATACAAGATGGTTCAATTGACTACATGTTCCTTAGACAGCTGGGGGTTTGGCTATGTTCCAGCAGCTGCATGATAAACAGCAAATAATGATTGATTTAGAAAGGCAAGATTCACTTTGTATCATAATGCTTCTGACTCCCCACATTTGGCTCTGAGCCCAGCAATGGAAGAGCAAAGGAGAGAACCTAGTTATATTGTAGTACCTGCCATAGCCATGGACCAAGATGAACTCCTACATATCCCCAAGAAAACTCAGGGATCTGTTGCTGTTTCCAAACACAGCATCTCTGCTCATGTTCATGTTCTGTACTGAACAAGGTAGGAAGGCAAGCCCAGCAGCTGTGGGGCAGGATTGGTTAAAAGATCTGTGTGTCGGGGCCTCCCCTGGTGGCGCAGCAGTTGAGCGCTGGGCTGCGAAGCTGCCCACAGCCTCTGCAGCGCCTGTTCAATGCCCGGCCACAGGCGACTGTCCCACAGGTGACAGACCTCTTCTGCCACGCCCGCTGCTCCCCTCAGCAGTGTATTTCATCGGACTACCTGTTCTGTTCCCCGCTCTGGCTCTGGTGAATTCTCTCACCCTCCCGCGCTTCTGACTGTACCCAGTGCTTGTATAAATAAATAAATAAATCTTAAAAAAAAAATCTGTGTGTCTCAAAATATTATATTTAACTAATCATGGTACATGGCATTGCCAACATTGTATAATTCTTAAGAAGTGACTTGTAAAAGCAATGTATAATGCAAGGAGTAATGTAAATAAAAGCCATTATAAATTAACACAGAGTAAAACTCTAAGGAAAGGTTACTGTCCGGGTAACTTCATCCAAGATAGATCATGATGAAGTAACATTTTAGTTTTTTGTTTTTTTTTAATATATAAGGCCCACACATGGTTCTTTCTTCAGATTAAGAAGAATCCCAGTTCCCATCTTAATCAAGTTCCTTACAAAATCTTAAATGTTAAGACTGTAAAAACACAAGTGAAGAGTGATACCTGTAACCCAGAAATTGCTGTGGGGTATGGTGAAAGTGCTGTTGAGCCCAAATTCCTTCCGAGCAGCGGGGTCATTGGGGTGCTGCTGGTGGTATGGGTAGCACGCCAGTATGCCTCAAGGTACTCTCCTAGATGTTCACATGCATCCTCCAGCTGATTTTCATCCAATATGACATCAAACATTTCCTGCAGATGACAAGACAAATTCCTTTCATTTATACTTTAGGTTTTAGGCAATGAAACCTAAAATTCCACTTAGTGCAGATAATAGTGTTTCAAATATCTAGTCACTAAAAACAAATTGATGGTCTATACATGCAATTTCTAAAGTTAAAGGCAAGTGAAGACTTGCACAGTTACCCATGTGCTAATGTGAACATTGATATAGAAAATGGCAGACTCATTAAATATCTGGATCTTTCATTGCTAAGAAGAAAAAGACAAGATAAATATAAAAATGTTTTAAGTAGAATATTGTGAAAACAGAGATGTATGCTATGGAGCTGAATGAGACTTTAGAATGTGAGAGAAAACAAAACAATGGCACTGAAATATTCTAGAACAGTCCAGAATATTCTAAAAATATTTTGGGCAATGACCATATCATTGGAATAAACACTTCATCCTCTAAAGTAACAATTATAAAGGAATAATACTCGGAATGCTTGTGATGATGGTTTATATCTTTGTTTTTGTTTTTGTGGGACCCTCGCTGATGGCCGGGGATCAAACTGGCGCTGCAGAGGCTGCGGGCAGCCTCGCAACCAGCGCTCAACCGCTGCGCCACTAGGGGAGGCCCAAGATGGTTTATATCTTATAAATATGTCTTGGGCCTCCACGGGTGGCGCAGGGGCTGAGCGCTGGGCTGCAAAGCTGTCCACAGCCTCTGCAGCGCCGCCAGTTCGCTCCCCGGCCACTGGCGAGGGTCCCACATGGCGCGCAGACCTGTCCTGCCACCCGCTACTTCCCCAAGCAGTGTATTTCGGTCCTTCTGCCTGTTCTGCTTCCCGCTCTGGCTCTGGTGAATTCTCTCACCTCCTGTCCTTTTGACTGTACCCAGTGCTTGTATAAATAAATAAATAAATAAATCTTCAAAAAAAATATGTCTTATGATGAAACAATACAGGAAGGAGGTTTAGTGTTAATACTAGAAAAGCACATTACAGTGATTTCTGCTACCAGAAAATTGTTATGTGAAATAGTGAAAGAAGAACAAAAGTCATGTTTCTATAAGGATGTTGTCCAATATCTGCTGAATAATCAGGAAGTGTTCTTTCCTCCTCAAAGGAAGGGGTGGCTCCTCTGTCACTGCAGTGTGGATGGGAACAGACAGGACATATCCCTCCAGTGCTCTGGAGGGACACTCAGAAAACCACAGAAGCTCAAAAGAAAAAAGTCATTCCCTAGGTATAGCACACTTCTAACTTTCAACAGCTGGATCCTTACCTTCCCTCTTCATCAACCCCACCACCACATACCTATTTTAGGAGCTCTTTATACCAAAATAAGAACCTCCCAGTATGATACTGTGGCTGGATGATTGGTTAAGCAACTGGATGACTCTGAGTTTGTGGTGGGTCAGCTGATTCATTGTCATCAGTGTGAAGATTCCTTGAAGCAGAAGTCACCATGGAAACCATCTCTCCCCCAATACTTACCATTTGAATCTTTTCATCACATTGTTCTTAAATAAATAGTTTGACCCTAATTTGTAAAACTAGTTTGAAAGTCCTTGGAGCCATGAGAAATGTTCAGCAAATAGGAAACGAATAGGATGATTTCAATTAAATTAACTGGTGTTAGAGAAGATTCAGCCAGTTCAAATCATGCAGAAACCTACCCTTCACAAAATATTTATTAGATTTCAGATAACTTTTTGCATATTTTATTTATTCATAAAATATTTACTTAGTACCTGTTTTGTGCTATGTAATGTGGGCACACAATGCCAAAAGAACACACATCAGCCCTATGCTCACAAAGCATACTATCTGCTGGCAAACACAAGCATTAAAAATCCATAAAAACATGTCACTCTGGGAATTTAATTTAGGACAATAAAGACATTTAATTTAGGACATAAACACTAAGTTAATGTTCAGAGCTGCAGCTTAGCAATCTAGATTTAGAAGAAGGTCCAGAGAGACACATGAAAGTTGAACTTAGGAGGGGAATTTATAAGTAAGCCAAAGAATTCTATTCGTAGAAGAAGGAGAATAAAACAGATAAAGAAGCAGAGATGCAATGGGAGAGAGATTAGGAAAACATCTAGTTCCTGCAGTTGCTGCCAACATATATTCTTGCAATAAATCCCCTTTTCTACTGAAGTAACTCAAGAGGGTTTCAGTCTCTTACAATCAAAAGCCACCTTCCCTCAGTAATGTAAACTTTCAACAGTTATAGAGTCCAAGAATTGCCCATAATGCTCTGATATAAACATCACAATGCTAACAGTCCCACTGCAAAGAGTGCCATAGACTCAGAGAGAAGTCACAGGAAGAAGAAAAGGGAAACTGGAGAAAGCAAAGGACCACTGTCAGGCACCCCAGGCTAAAACTTCAGAAATCCTTAACTGTGAGTTGGAGTCTGCTGTTTCATTTTATTTATGTTGACTGTATAATTCAACTATATAAGCCTCATTCTATAATGGAGTTTCAACAGAGTATTGTCTCAACAAATCATTCTCCTGCTTTAATAAAGTCCCAAGTCAAAGAAGCCTTCAGGGACACCTGGATCCAGGTTCTTGACTATCCCAGCCAGGATTTTGAAGCCAAGAGAGCAAAAAACCAGCTCAGTATTGCCCATTGCAGAATGCTATTTGAATCTGGTTTATATTTCTTGGTTGTGCCACATGTTACATTGTCACTACTATAGATATAATTAAAGATACATAAGCCCCCTCCCTGGTGGCGCAAGGGATCAAGCACAGCACCATGAAGCTATCTGCAGCCTCTGCAGCACCAGTTTGATGCCTGCCCAGGGAGCTGACCTACATGGCACAGCAGACCTCTTCCGTCTCACCCACTGCTGCCCTCAGCAGTGTATTTCAATGGGTCCGCCTGTTCCATCCGCCGCTCTGTCTCTGGTGAATCCTCTCACCACCCCCTACCTCTGGCCTGTACCCCAGTTCTTGTATGCATAAATAAATAAATCTTTAAGAAAAAAGACACTTAACTATAAGTAATTTTAATAAAGTACTTCTTTTTGCCAAAGGATAAAATTTGTATATTTCAGCACATAGCTGTTTGCTTAAGCCTCAATCACTTCTGGGAAAATATGCTTTCGCACTGCTAAAAAGACGCTATATGATGGAAGAAGATTTGAAACTGATTTTAGGCTTTCAAAAACACAGAGAAAAGCAAATTTCCATTTCTGAATGAATACTGACATATGCAGCTTATTTTCAACAAAGAAGAATTTCACAGTCTGTATATCTGTGACAATTACTGTTTAGAAATAACACAGCTGATTAGACCAGAGTGTTGGAACATGAGTATAAGGGATAAAATCTTAATTAATTATACATGAAATTCAAGGGAAGTAACCTTGAATTATGAATTATGCAAACCAACTTTGCCAATTTTTCATAATTTTAAAGGTCCAAGTCTAGTTAGGGCCTTACTGATAATAGAGTGATCTCCATTGTGGGATATGGATTCAGGGAGTGATCTCATCAGCCAAGGAAGGTGTGGGTAATAGGACAGTCATAAGCAGCAAACAACCATGCCCTCAGTGATACCATGACCCTGGTGATGACTATAGGAGATAAAGCTGTTTTCAAAGCGCTGCCACAGGGAATGAGTCTGACACTCTTTTGCCAGAGGTGGGCAGAGATAATGTGGCTGCTGAGGCAAATAAGCAGTGAACAGAGATATAAAAACAAACCATCAGAAAACCAGGCACAGTAGGCCCTTTTTCTGGATGAGCTCTTTCAGGAAAATTAAAAATGAAAACATTGTAAACAGCAGCAGTGAAAAAGAAACCTCTAGCTTATCTAGTGGTCCAGTTAACTAAAATGACAGAGAAGGAAAACGGAGAATTTTGAATAAATAAATACTTGAATAAAATGGAAATGAAGACCTGAAATACCTTTTGAAAAAATTGTAGGTAATTAATGATATGTCTGGTTTTCTATTCACAGAGTGTCACATACTTTCCCAGGGAAGCCACCTGAATTAGGGCAGTCAGACATCCCAGTCTGCCTAGGATTAAGTGTTTTCAGGTACTTTTCAGGTAATTAATGATATGTCTGGTTTTCTATTCACAGAGTGTCACATACTTTCCCAGGGAAGCCACCTGAATTAGGGCAGTCAGACATCCCAGTCTGCCTAGGATTAAGTGTTTTCAGGTACTTTAGATCATTGGTACTAAAATTTGGAAAAATCTGGAGAAAACTGTAATGGTCAATCACATTGGTTTCTATATAATAGAAAGTCTTTTTCAGTTCCTAAATTGAAGATTGGACTGCCGCGGACCAGCACAGTGGTAGACTTGCAGGACTTCTTTTACATCGCTTTGGGAGGGAAGATATAGAGAGGGAGTGGGCAAGTTCTTCTCTCTCACTGCAAAGTAGATACTTTATAGCAAACATATATTTTCTAATGTGTTTTATCTAGGAAGTTATTATTTAACTTTTTAAAATAAAGTTTATAAAATAGATTAATTTTGCAACTTAATTTTACTTTTTTAAAAAAGTTTTTGCATTAATAATTGGTAACTAACCAAATGAGCCAATATATGCAAGCTTTCCCCTGGTATATGCATTGCTTGGCATTTATTTGTTGTGTATAAATAAGACGTCATACAGGGCATCTACTTCCAGATTGGGAAAAAAAATAATAGGAGTTACATACTTTTATTTTTTTGCTATTGCAATGCAGAGACCCTGAAACTGTCACCATTTAAAAAAAAAGTGGCCATCACTATTTAAAATAAAATGCTAAAAAGGTAAAATAAATGACTGCATAGCAAAATATGTAATAATAATGATAAACAGTGTTACTTTCAATCAAAACTGCACTTTTTTATACTATTCAAATTTTTGAAGTCCTAAGTACTTAACTCACTAGTCAATGAGTGACAGGAAACCAGACTCTAAATTAAAGGGCTTTTAAAAGATCTAGGAGGTCTTATAGGAATAAAGGATAGTCAGGAAAGATTACAATATTACTGGCTCAAGCAGTTAG